CCCAGGGAAGTGGTGGAGTCCCCATCCCTGGAGGTATTTAAAAGACGTGTAGATGAGGCGCTTAGGGACATGGTTTAGTGGGCATGGTAGTGTTGGGTCGATGGTTGGACTGGATGATCTTAGAGGTCTTTTCCAACCTTAATGATTTTATGATTCTATGATTTTAAATCAAAATTAGTGTTCTAAAGCACCTTTGAGCATAGTTACATTCTATCTTACAATGTTTCTTTAATGACACATGGTAACATTTTTTCCAAAAAGAAATATTTTTGTTTCCTTTAAGTAGGTAGTTTCAGTTGGTAAAAACTTGTAATACTCTCCTAATCAGGAAGAACTGATTAGAATGGTTTGATTCTTCAAAGTAACTAGACTGTAAAACAATAAAAACAGATAGAAATAAAAATACTTAGATTCTCCCCCCCTTAATTTTAATAATGAAATGTGCCATTGATAGTTACGGGAAAATCATATTGACTTAGAACATATTTTTAAGTGAAAACTATTACTTTATTTAATTTTCTGTAATATTTGATTTGCTAGCTGCTCATTTTATTCCCTCATAGAATTTTGTCTACAGAGGTTTTAACATTTCCATAGGTTTCAGTGTATCCATATGCAGGATTATATACACAGATAACTTTTCAGGAATAGGGCTATGGAAATGTGAGGGATATGCTAAGGGGATGTTTCAAAGTTTAACTTTTGATATTAAATGAGAGAACTTTTACTGGATGCAAGGAAGACAAATATGACAATTATAGAATTAGCTGAGGAGTTAAATCATTCTTTGAGAAGTTTCAGTATGTCTGGACTCTTCCCAGAGACAGCCTTCACCTGGAGATGTGTCTGTAGCTTTTGTCATCCCTTATAAATCTGTGTAAATCTGGACATATTATGAGCATCTGGAAAGGTTACAGGGTTACAAATGCTTGATGGAAATAGGGTTTCATAGTGAATTTTTCAAATTGTCAGTTTTTACTGGATGAACTGCAACATTTATCGCACTGTACATCCCAGTTACAGCCATTGCTGTGGTTTTGGGGGCAGGAAATCAATCTCTCTTGTTCAGTACTTTCTGCCGTGGCAGATTTTAGGCTACAGGACCTGTCCTGTTGGTATTGAAACTGTATCTTTGAATGATGGACAGGTTAGATACTGGTTTAGTGTATCTAAGTTACCAGGCATAAATCAGAATAATAATTATTTTACCTAACTGGGAAACATTAAAATGTTGAGAACATCTGCTGTGGTGTGTAAAAAAAGAACTACCAGAAAACCATGTAAGAACTGGGCAAAACCTCAGCTTCAAGACTTCTGTAATGAAGAACTGCTAGGTGGAAATAAAATACTCAGAAAAAAAATCCTTATTTTCAATATCATA